TGAGATTTCATATGCATACTACCAAAAGAAAACCAAATATACGTTTTTCGAAAATTTTACACTTCACTACTTCAAAATTTCAGATCATAATATAAGTAACGACGAATACACTATGCATAAACTTTTCGGAAACTTTTTTCCTCTACAAAATCAATGCGTTTTCAATCAATTTCAATTACATCCACGTATCATTTCAATTATACTCTTTGAATAAAATACATTTTAGTTCATTTCTGTTTTCTTGAAAGCATTACATCATCATTTCTGTCACTCTCCCTACTTCTATTCACTTAGTATTCGATATAGATATCTAATGACAATGAAAAACAGCTTAATGCTTATTTCACGGAAACCATATCAAGCCTTATTATAACCTTTTTGACTTCAAAAAGAGAATTTCGTCTTAAACATGTGAAAATTTTCACTACCACTCGTCATCATCATCATCTACATTTCTGCGCACCTTTTTCTTGACTCCTTTGGTTACTTTTGTAACAACCATACCAGAATCTCGTAAGTAGGAAGGCCCGTTGTATTCTATTACTTTGGACCTGCAAAAATTCACATAATTTGCCACAACTTATGAAACGAGAAAAAACCAAAACAAAAAAACCTAAATACAGAACCAGACACGATGAATCGGGAAAGAAAAGTTGATGAAAATACCATGAAAGTCTCCATTCAAGCGTTTCGGTCCTGAATTCATCATTTCCACCCAAATCATCGAATCCTCGTATGTAATCAACAGTTTTCGCATCAATTATTACAATAATTGTTGGAATAACACGGATTTTGAGTCGTGTAGTAAGAAATGGGAACTAAAATCTTCGTAGATTTGACTTACAATTTTGATTTCAATCATACGATACCTGATAAGTCTTTTAAAACTGCAACACGTGTACTAATGATTACAGTTAAATTCTACTAAGGATTTGCTATCAAATGAATGTAATACTTAAATTTAGCAACTGTACGGAAATATCAGAATAAATTTAACTTTACGAAGTACAGCAAGACATTTTGATAGAGCTACTGAAATCCTAACCTTTTCAGCATTGGCAAAAATGAATCGAGTTTCCAGATATTTCGGAGCAATTTTTCTCAAATGTTTATCAACAATTTTACACCGTTCATTAGTAGCTAAATAAAAATGACACACAACTTTAGCAGATTTTTTTGTAGCGTCGAAAAAACTTCGTTCATCCGGAATTTCCTCATATACGCCATGACCATTTTGAAGCCATTCCTCGAAAAGAATAAAGTTAATAAAAGAAGAATCAATTAATAAAGATGAAGGATAACAATTAAAATGTAAAAAGCCTAAAGATAAAAAAATCTCTTAAAATTATTGAAAAAAATATTTTTCTAAAAAGCAGGAATAGCAAATTGGTAGATAACCACTAATAAGTTGATAATGCTTCCTTTTTTTTTTTTCAAGCACAGTCAAAAATATAGTTATCATTTAAAAACTTGCCTGCTTTTGTAATTGTCTCTTTTTCAATTCTTGCAAACGTTTCCGTCGTATAGCTTCTAAATCATTTTCATCCAAATTATCATATTTTTCAATTTGGCGATCAACTTCTTCCTCAGTTACTGTTACTACTTTAAGTAATTGCTCACCAAGCACCTTTTCCATGGAATGATCCATTTGTCTCGGAACCAAATGAACGGTACCGATGTCCTTGTAACAATATAACCATAAAGAAAAGTTTATAACGCTACAATGATATGTGGAGATTACATAAGTACAAAGGAAAACATCTTTTCAACGAATTTATAATTCATCTCATTAAAATAGTATCATAAAATGAACATCTTTTCATAAAATTCAACGAATTTAACTGTCGTTGAATTCACAGAGAATTTGGCACACTAATTAAAAACAACACCACAATTTAGAAAATTAAAAATGAAAAGGAAATTTTTGCATGAAGTGCAATTAGATCACTGCTGAGAGTAAACCAACAAACGACAACACCGGGAAAAGCAAAAACCAGCAGTCTGCAAATCAAAACCAAATGAGGGAAGGAAGTTGGAAATAAATAAACGACAGTTGGTTGATATTCGAGTTGCCGCCGCACACCTTCCTCTCCCGGGGATATTCTCAAAATCGCGGGTGTCGGGTGAGTGTTTTTGCGGTTTGGCAGATGAGATGACGTGAGAATTCACTGGGAATAAATGCTATGAAAATATCTTGACTGTCGTAAATTTCAGTGAGGTCACAGTCGTCAGTCATATATTCATCGGAGAGGTTAATCTTCTTGGATAACATTTCACATAACAGACTGAATAAATTGATAGGAAATGAAATATCACTTCTTATCCTTTAAAATACATATTTCGAGAAGTTATGAAATGATTTTTCTTCTTTAAATTTATTTCTTTCATCATTTCAATTCCCATTTCCATTTTAATGAAGGATTTTTTTTTTTATTTCATTATCGATCGAAATAAACTCTTATTGCTTCGTATCAGCATTTTGTCATCATTCTGCTAATATTATTTACTCTACTAAAATGTCCATTATAAATAAAATTAGTTGGTTATTTCTTGGAATAGTAAGGTTCAATTTTAATTTACCATCTAATGCACTTTGTGACCCATCTAATGAGCTAGTTAGTGATAAGTCTGAATTAGCACTTAGATAGACAATTTCCATTTCGTCAAATCTTAATGATATCCCGATTTCTGTATAACCCAATTTTTATGTAGAGGTGAAAATTGTCCAAATATCATCTTAGCATAAATATAAGACTAAGATAAATTTTTTGAAAGAAAAAATTTATTTCATTTTTTTAAACTCTCTTATTGGTAGTATTTTTTTTTTAATTTCACTGATATAATAATTACATGTGAAGGTCTTAATTATAGCATCATCTCTTAATAAAATGCAATGACTCTAAACCGGTTGAGAAAGACAGAGAGAGGGAGAAAGAGAGAAAGAGAGAGAGAGAGATCATTTTCACTCCAATCATTTCATTCTCATCAATTTTTACCTTTCATCACTTCTTTTACTATTAAAATTAGTATTTTTTTTAAACTAATTTTCACTGAGATAAGTCTATATTATGTTGTAAAGTAAGTATACCATGAAATATGAATTAATAATAAGTGATTTTAAGATATATGCATTGGTAAGAAGTAACCTTAAGTAATGGATTAGTAAAAGATAATCATTCATACATGGATTAGTAATTGATAACAATAATTTTAAGATAAAAGATTTTCTGTAGTTGCAAAAAAAGATAAGAATAATCAACAGATACTTGGGATTGTTGGTTAAAATAGACAAATAACAATCGCTTGAGTAAAATTTCAACTTAACCTGGCCAGTTTCAAAATGAAAATTTGTAAACTTTCATTGGATTTCGTACTTATTATTATTTATTATCAAACCCTAAGAATCTTAAGTCAATAAAAGTATTGTCCTTTGAAATTTTTTTCTTCCACACCTTTGATTGGATGGTTAATTAGTTATTCTCAGGTAAAACTAAGAATTTCTGGATCATTCCGAATTTTATTAAATTATGATGATAAAAGGATTGATTTTTATTTTTAACTTCTTAATTTTAAGCTAACGCGAGAAGAAAAAGAATGAGGAAGAATGACGCATCCCGAATAAATGTTTGTCGTCTTTCCCATTTTATTGCTTATTTTTCATTTCGTCATTTATTGAGTAATTTTTCGATTAACTGTTTTTCCTCTTTACAATTACTTTTTTTTTACTTTAGTTATTCTATTCCTGCTATCACTCCTTTTTTTTCTATTTCTACGATATCTCGATAGCATAACAAAGTAATCATGATATAAGTTATTAAATGAATGAATAAACATCCTTTTTTTTCCCATACCTTTCAAAAATCTTTTATTTAAAAATGTCATTCGTCACAGTTCCTTTTTGTTTATCTTGAATTGATAACTGGATTAATATTTTAAATTTCAGATGATAAAATGATGAGAATATGGCAGATATAATTAAATATTAATAGTGGTAATAGTGATAATAACAATAATATTATCGCTAAACAAAATCGTTTATCAGCCAATGAATTAAAATAATCCAAATATTAGTTTGAAACTATCGAAAACCGTGTAATGGATAAATGGTCAAGCTATAGTGAAGATTGTGAAACGAAAAGTCAACAGTTTGTATCATTCCAAAGGGAACCATCAGGATTTATGCGACGAACATTTAGCTTTCAGGTTTTTTCTTCAATTTTCAATATTCCATTTTTGAAATTTTATTGAATTAGCTTAGATTTTTTTGGTTGAAATAAAACTACTTCATTTAGCGTATTTTTCAATTTCATTTGTTAAGGGAGATGTTATTATATATTTAATCACAGATAAGAGAGAATGTTACTAAACTTTCTTTCTTTAAATCACCAAAAAAATTTTTTTTTTCCTATCATTTCATTGGTTGTTATAATTCATAGAGCAAGAAAGTCATGTGCCCTTTTATTCAGTATCATTGAATTTTGTTTGTCTTTTGCATTTTTTCGAAATTTGCTGTGATTTTAAATAGTAGTATTTTTTTAATTTTCATAAATTTGTAGGTTTAATAATTATGAATGAAGCTGGAAAAGGAAAATAAATGAGCAGTTAACATAGTAAAGTACAATTGAGTAAGCAAAAGTGTCTTACTCGGGAGTAATAAATTGATTTTAGTTTTTTTCAAAAAGTTTTGTTTTTGTAGCACACAAAAAGGTTGATTTGCTGCTATAATTGTTGAACAAGAACGTTTCTGTTACATCACTAAATTCAAAGTCCAAGGTATAATTTTGCAATTCAATATCCGTGCAGAATTTTTGAACCGGAAAATTTTAAACTTTATAATTTTTCATTCCGATAAAGAAACATTATAAAACGATGTTAATTTATTATATTTTAATTATAATTGGGAGCAAATAGAATATATAGTATATGATTCATTGATGCTTGATATTTATGTTTTGAAAGATATGAATAAAATTTATAGAGCTTTTTATAAATCTCAATTTTTACAAATCGCTGTTTTTATCAATTATTGTCTGACAGAACATTAAAAGCATAAGCACATTGACATTTCATGGCAGCATTGAAAGGATAACAATTCAGCTTTTTCGAAACTGCTTATATTTTGAAATGTTAATATTTTGAAAAAAATAATGCTTATATTTTGAAATTAGCTTAGTTTTATCGAAATATGCTATCCTTGACAGTTAGGCATAAGTTAACAGTATCATCAACAACTTCATCATTCTTAAAAATATCTTTAAAAGTATATTACATTTTTGTTGAACGTCTTGACTAACAAATGTATTAAATGGAATAATTTGATGATCAAAATCATTAATTTCGAAAAAGAGAACTAATACAAAATTGTGCGCAGTGATTTGAAGTTGTGACATTTCCAGCTCTAATGAAAGATATATTTTAGTTTAGAATAAAAGCAAAAATCAAAAAATAACATTGGAAAGGATGTATGAACAGAATGTTTAGTGATGGCAATTTTTCTTTCTAAAACTTAAAAGGTTGTAACTTGTCAGCTGCTAATTCTGTTTACGAAGGAATTCGTTGAAAGTGTGCATCGTCTCATTTTTCTATTTCTTTAGCACATGTTTGCCTTATCGAATTGTATAGCAACCGGCAAGGATCATGATGACATCATTATTATCAGCAATTTGTAAAATTGTATTTACCTATTCTGCTTTTTTATTATGCTTTTGAAATGATGCTACTAGAAATTAAATCTAATAGAAATGTGATGCCAAGATGAGAAATTTTTTAAGATGAAAAATTATTAGATGATATTAGCGAGTATTATATTTGATGTAATTAAAAAGATGTTATGTTTCCTTTTTCAAAATTTTCCGAATAACTTCAATAGTTTATGTCTAATTTTAGTCGTTTTTTTAAAACAAATAAGGTTGTATTTACAGGCTGGAAAAACAAAGGAATTATTTAAACTGGATTCTGAAACTAGTGCAATGATCAAACTTCGATACAAAGATATTTCAAAACATGTCATTTGGCCAGATTGCGCATTGCCTGAGGGATACAATCGGAGTTCTTTGGTTCGTGATCTTTTTTATATTTTCAGAAACACTTCACTGATAACGCTTTTACATTTCAATTCCTAGTTTCGAAAAATCTTTCTACTATGGAATATTATGCTGGTTTTCCGCTACTTTTTTTTAATGAAGATATTTCCTTTATTTAATTCATCTCATTTTTCTTTGTACGTTTTTATAAAATAGATATTCCAATCCTTTTAATAAGATTACTTTTTTTGTTAAATTTTTTTCCATTCATTCTATTCTCGCCTCATTGAAATGAGCTGAAAGTGTGTTTTCTTTTCTTCTTTTTTATTCTATATAATTTATAAATGTTTTTCGTTTTCTTAGAATAATTATAAAAAGAACTTTCCAGACTTTAAATTCGGTCCATTCCAAACGTGCAACCATTCGCTACAATCATGCCGGCAATCATCAGGCGACAATTTTAAGGCTTAAAGATGATAGAACTACAGGAAAAGACTTGGCAATTATTCCATTTGGCTCACCAAAAACTTTTCCAAGAACTAAAAAGGTCTGTATTACATTGTGGCAGTATAATAAAGATACTTTCTATTTCATTCGTCTCACATTTTTATTAATTTACACGTTTTTGATTTGTTACTTATATAGTAAAATAAATATTTCAATCCTTTTAATAAAGATTACTTTTTTGTCAGGTAGTTTAGTTTATTATATTGGAAATTAAATAAGTCTCAAAAGATACTTTACTTAAAAGAAATTCGGAATTTTTCAAAATTTTGAAATGCATTGAAATTTTTTGTATTGAAAATTTGATTAACTTTCATGTGAACCTTCGATTCACATGTTGGAACATTCGCAATCTAATTGGAACTCCTTTTTATGTTTAATGAAGTTTATTTTCGACGTATATTAATTATTTTTGTTAGATTTGAAATTTTTTCTTATTCTCGAAATCATATGCTTCCTTCAAAAATTTGTTCAATTGTCAACTAATAGTAAACCTCGGGTTGTAAATTGTTAGTCTAATCTATCCTTCTATTTATTTTTCAACTCTTCCTTTCAGAATTATAATTCCGAAAATTTTGCCTATTGAACGTTTAATTTCAGCAAAAACTTTCTCAGCATCAGAAACAGCAACTGTTTTACACTGTTTATCCTTCTCAAACTTTGTCACCAACAAGTTTGACAAGGATTAAAGAGGAAAAGGAAGCCACATCGATAGATCCAAGAAGTAAAACCAATGAAACGATAGTGGATATTGAGGATGATCGGACACCGATTCCAAAGCGGGTAATTAATTCGGTGAGACGTTCCGAATCTAGCGATGAAAATGAATCAATTGTTAATATGACAGCGCCACGAGTAGAAGACGAATGTTGTGAGGGTGATGACAGTGAACCTGATTTGCAGATTTGGAGGTTCTAATGAGCAATTAAATTTCATTAATTATTCCATTTTTACATGAAACTTATCTTTTCAAGTTTTTAACCTGATAATTTAAAGATCACAGTATAGTTTTTTGATTTTTATGAATATGTTGACGTTGAATGAATTTATTAGAATTTCTTCATTTTTTCTTTATTTATTTGGGATTAAGATAGGAAATTTTGAATCGTACTTAGATTCAATAAGTTTTTTTTTTCTAAACTACATTACGAGGATTGTTTTTCTTTTTCCTAAAATTGGACATGGAATTATCAGAAGTCATAGTTTGTGACTCATAAAATGTTCAAACATCGAAAGAAAAAGAGAGATAAACTTTGGTGTTACATTATTTCCACATTTTGATAATGCTAAAATTGTTTCCATTCATAGCAGAAATATAAAATGATGAAAAAAATGGCTTATTTAGGGAATATTTGAGAGTAGAATGAAGGTATGTTGATTTAACATTATTTGAATTCTCTATGCTTTGTACACTGTGGGCATCTTTTTAATTTTTAATCACCTGAAGCAATAGAGTTGGGTGGAATTTTATCGTTTTATTTTGTTTGTCTATAATTTAGGACTTTCACTGGAAAAAAAAATATTACTAAGAAAGCGAAAAAAAGTAATATGCTAAAATAATAGCATCCAGCTATTATTCATTCATTTGTAGCATTATGGATGAATAAGAGGAGGATAGGTACTGATAATTAAAAGTTCATAAAAAATGATAGTAGCAAATAAATTGCGGGAAAAAGTAATAAACATTGCACCTTCATAATTGAAATATCGATTGTCATTAATTATTTATTTTCAAATACATTTTAATAATAATCAGATTGAAATATATTATAATCAACAGACAGGTAGCCTCTTCATATGATAAAAATTGTTTTTCAACATTTTTGAGCTTATTTTGCATTTTATGGTTGTGAATTTTTTTTCCTGTTTATATGTAAATATTATCATTCCAGGCTTGTTAATTTCTATTTTTTGTTGGTTTCAAATTAAAATTTTAAGGACTTCGTTTATCCTACGAGTTATAAACTCTCCTTATCGAGAAAAATTTTAATAAATTGCATATTTTATTGCTGGAGACTGCGTTTTATATAACAATTTAGTAGATCTATTACCGATAATAGGTTGAGAAGAATAAATTATATTTGTTTCGGCTATTTCATTAAGTGATAAAAAAGAGGACAAGCAAAGTGTGTTAGTGCAGAGGAAAAGCGAAGTATTTGATCATATAATATAATTAAATTGAAATTTTACAAAATGCAAGATTTCAAGATAGAATTTTAAACTTTTCAAAGATTAACGCTGTTGGGAAGTTATTTGACTGTTATTGTAAATCCCTATATATAAAAGGACATGAAAAACGATCACAAATTATAATTTCACATGAATAAGTTTATAATCACTTTTGTTCTGAGGGGAGAAAGTGAGTTGACCTTTACAAAAACATAAAATTGATATGACGATGTTTTTTTTTCAACTATGTTAACAGTATTTAGCCTTATATGATGTAAGTAAAATGAAATTTTAAGTATATAAAGGGAGTGAAATGCCGTAAGAGATGTAATCTGAAATTAAATTTCTAACAAGTCAGTAAAAAGCAAAATAAAAAATTCCTCTAATTTTGTTTGTTAGATGATAAATTGAAATTGACGCAATTGCCACATTGTATTATATTTCCTCAAATTAGAAGTTTCCTGAAAGATTACATTTTGAGCGGAAAACTTTTTTTTGATTATTTTCGTTGTATTGAATATATCAGTTAGTTATCAATAAGTTAGATTATATTATTTATATGTTTACAATAGAGAATAAGTAAGTTCGTTCTGCCGTAGAATTTTTCGAATTATTTTTACGGGATGGAAAAGCTAAAAGCACAAAAAAATGAGTTGAAGAGGATGACCAGAATTGCTTTTCGGTTAAGCCAAATCTTTGCATTTCAATTGTCTGTGCCACTCATTTATCTATCATTGCTATATATGTAATGTAATACGAAATACTAATTGTATCGTAAATGACTCCGTATTTTCATTCTTTAAATTGCAGTGAATCACCAGAAGAGATCAAATTTCATGATAGCTAAAACCATTTTAGCGTACTTTTATTAGCATCACTTATAACTGTTGTGATTTTTTTTAACTTAAAAATAATTAAAAATTATCGTCTGACTAAGTGGTATTTTGGCATCATTATCACCATAATTAGCATTATCAAATGCTCACATCACTTCAATTATTGCTAAATTCCAATTTTTTTTAGATAAGAAACTTAAAAGTAATCAAATGAATTCTTACGATGCAATTAATAGCAAAATCTATGCTTTTTAATTAAAAAGAAAAGTTTATGTGAATAAAATGTTGCGGAAAGATTGTTAACCAAATTTTCACTTGAAAAATCCTTTGAATTTCAGCGTGAATATTTTGATAACACCACACATATCGCAGTTGATGATGACATTCAAATGTTTTCTTTTTGAATTACATTAATTAAATATTTAATAATAAATTCCAAAGCAACAGATGCCATCTCATATTTTAGGATTTTTAAGAGGAGATGGGATAGAAAAATAATATGAAAAACAGCTGGTTGATCGTTCTTTTTTACATCGACCCATTTTTCTTTTTTTTTTTCAAATCACTTTTCATTTTATTCTAATGCTTTAAAAACTGTTTTATAATTTTTATTGACATATTAACCTTTGTTTATTTGTTTTTTGTGGTCGTCTCAGAGTGATTTGTCTTCGGCATTTTACTTTGATGATTACTAATTTTTGATGAAATAGACGACAAATAATTTATTATGCAATATTATATTGATCATTTGTTTTTTTTTCCTTTTCTTTGCTAACTAAACTTTTACGATATTGACAGTTTCAAATTCTCATATTAATCGGTTGCATTTTGAAATGAAAATGCTTAACAGTATTATGTATATATTCTGTCTTTCTCAAATAACAAAATTTTCAAGTATCAATGAGACGATAATGATTCATCCCCATATTAGCTGGATTAATAATAGCAACTTCAAAAAATTGCCGAAAATTTTAGCAGTTTTTATTGAAGGATTATAAGTTCAAGTTGAAGGTGTTAAGGTGCAAATAATTCTAATTTAGAAAAATTCAACAATGCAGCATCACTTTTCAATGATGATTTCTAGTGAATCATTGAAGATTATCATATAGTATGCTTTTCCGATTTACAAAAGCGGATAACTATTGTTAATTATTAATAAAAAGTACTCTGAATAGCCGATGACAAAAAAGTTGATTTTTTAAAATTAAGTTTCAATGAAAATTCTCCTGAAGTTAAAGAAAAAATTTATTGATTCGTGTTAGTTTTTTATTCGGTCAGTTTCCCATTCCAGTAACCGACAATACAGTATTGTTCAGTTAATTTTATACATTTTAAATTTCACTTTTCACATCACTTCTTCATTTCTTTTATTCCAAATAAGTTGGTTTTGATCAGCCATACTCTTCCAGTTCTCATTCTGTCGGCGTTCTTTCTATTGACATCAATTCTGCATTATCTTAGACGCCGACGGATTCTGCAATCAGCGAGTTGACTTGCCATGTGATCTGTTACGTATGTAATGTATCAACTATAAGATCCTTACAATCTCAATTATGAACTACAAAAATATTGTTTTTACCGATAACGGTATCCAGAGCGAGAACGACGGCGCGGACGAGAAAGACGACGTCGGGGAAGAATACGGCGACGGGATCGCGAACGACGGCGAGAGCTTGAACGACGACGTCGACGAATGTATGAACGACGACGAGGTGATCTTGACCTATATGAGCTCCGACGCGATCTTAATCTTGACCGTCTGCGCCTTCTGCCTGATAACAACCTCAGCAAATCATAACCCAGAAGTGATTGTGAAAGTGAACGTGACCGCCGTCGACGCCTTGAGGGTACTAATGAAAGAGATATTACATCTCTACTTGGACGAGAACGACTTCGACGTCTCCGTGACACTGATCTCGAACGTCGATACGGCATTTGCTACTGTTAGTAATTCTCTTATTCTTGAGGGGTTTACCAGTAAATCCTAATAAATCGACTTCTTTTATCCCCAATCAGTATTTCATTCTTGAGTGAGCACCAGTAAAATAAGACGCCTTAGGTATAAAATGAATATCACTATTTAAGACATGCTATTTAAAGGCTTCTTTACGAATGCAAATTACACTTTTTTCTTTTCAAATATTTTAATTTCTGTTTATTATGCAAATTTAAATCATTTTACATAAAATTCTAATTCGGAAGTTGTATGATATGCAAAACTAAATTCGATTATTTCTCAAATTACCTTTTCCTAATGAAACGACATAATATTTTCAAATATAACTTGCGAGAAATACTATTTGCATTTAATTGAAATGGTAATTTTTGAATTGTTTTGAGGAAATTTGCTATCAGAAATATTATTTTGCATTAATTCCTAATTTTTTGCAAATTTAAAATTTCACATATTTGTTTGAATTGCTAATTTTATTAAATTATTTATAGATTTCAAAAATCATCGTAATGAGATGCTTGAAATAATGCAAATATTATTCATTCAATGCTTCTCAGAGATATTACACCGTAATTGCTACAAATTGCGGCGAAAAGTCAATAACCGAAATGATTTCCATTTTGCTAAACAATTCAAATGAGTTGATAAATCACATAAATAAAAAGGCGTAAATATCAGTTAAATTAAGCATCACTCGCTATGTATTAGCTCTAATCGACGATACTAACCTTTCACTTGTATTCTAATTAATGATACAAGTAATTATTACAATATAAATATACATCAAAACTGAATAATTCTCATTTCTTTTCCATCCATAACATTTCATTAAGAGTGAGAAAGTAATATTCGAGAAGGGATTTCGGCTAGTAAGACAAGACAACCAATCGATGTGGACACTTCCTCGCATGTCTTCCGGTAAAAAACCCTTCAACAAACATTTTCCATGTTTGAATTGCCGCTTCTCGCAAACTTCAAATGAAACGACAACATTAACATAGCTGTCCTCTTCTTCTTTACATAACAGCGAGGTATGTTACTGTGTTAACTAACTCTCGAGGAGTGGCGTTATCGGTTGCTGCTTGCGGATATCATTCTCATTTCGTCTTCCTCATTTACTCATTCTCTGAATTATAAATCATCGGTTCCTTTTATCCTTTATAGCACTCATTCCGATTGTTATTATTATTATTTTCTTATCCGGGATGAATTCATTATTTCTTGGTTTGTTTACAATCTTCTTTTATAGCTTATTCAGAAAGCACTTTTTTATTTCAGTCTTCACTTCTTCTCGCTTCTCCGAAGAAGGAACTAAATGGTATTATGCCATTTGCGTTTCATTGCAGTTAATCAATCATTGCTTTCACCTCTATTGATTCATCTTTTTGCCAAAATTTTTCAAAGGTCAAACAAAAGGACATTGTTTGTTATATTTTTATCATTGTTACTACAAGAAAACTAAACGGCAAACTTTCTTCTTCTGAATATTTCGCTTTTTCCTACTTAAAATGAAAATTTGAAAATTAATAAATGCAAATAGGCAGAAATGTTGTACGTATCACTCAGTTATTACTTTTTCATAGAGAAATTAAAAGTGAAAGCTGCTAGTTAGGCTGATTTTTAGACTTAAAACTGAATGCTTAAGAGTTTTATTTCTTGTTGGATGAAAATTTTTGCAAAAAAAGATATAACAAACATATACAATATTGTATATATTTATTGTGCTGTAATTATTTTCATCTTTCATGTTCCAAAATTTGTTTCGGGAAATTTTTTTAATTTGTTATTGAAGAAATTGATATTTTCTTTATCTCTGAAATGTAATTACTTTTTTGATATCAAAAAGGCGTTAAAATGGTGATGTTGAGCTGTGATTCATTACTCGATAACATTTTCTATTTTATGTGAAATATTTCAGCATTGATTCAATAACGAACGGTGTTTTGGTGAGAAAGCAGTGACGACATGATTGTGAAAGAATAGTAAGCCTTGTTTTATAGTTGTTTGATAAATTTTAATTAATTTACGTGCTATTTTAGTAACAAATATGATAAATTCACATGCATAGTAAGATTGACTTCATTGAATATTTTCATATTTGAATGACTAAATTATTGGTAAAACAAAAAAAGAATATCATTTCAAAATTTCATTGAAATATTTCAGGCAAAAATTATGCGGAAAAAATTTTTCTGATTCTTTTTTGTAGTCGATTAGTTCTACCGATGACGGTCGAAGAATACCAAGTCGGTCAACTTTGGTCCGTTGCCGAAGCATCAAAAGCTGAAACAGGTGGTGGTGAAGGTGTTGAAGTTTTAAAAAATGAACCATTCAAAAATTATCCGTTACTTGACGGGCGTTATTCATGTGGTCAATACACGCATAAAATATATCATTTGCAAACGTAAGTTTTTCTGTTTCTTAAATAAATGCCATTAAATCTGCACAGAATTCTTTTCACAAAAGCACTTAGTACACATCTGCTGAAATGAAGTTTAGAGTTTTTAATATATCACTCTTGGTTACAGAAATTGAATGTAGCTATAGAATCTTTAAAAACAAGATAAAGCTCATTTGTATTTTTATAATATAAAAGGGTGTAAAGAATAGTCTTTCATTATCTGATTATTTAGCTTGTTTTATTTATTTATTGAATCCGCACTTTATGTTAACAATTTTTAGAAAAGTACCGACGATAGTACGAACTTGTGCGCCGAAAGGTTCTTTAGCGATACACGAAGAAGCGTGGAATGCTTATCCTTATTGTAAAACGGTTCTCACGGTCGGTTAAAACAATTTACAATTTAGCACGTTTTGAGGCAGTGTAGATACATTTGCTGAGCTCGAACTGTGCAAGCACAATTTTTTTCTGGGGTAATAGACTAAATTATAGTTGATATCTGTTATGAATGTTTTCTTGCTTTACAATGTAACTTTATAATATTCAGCTGTTGAAAGATAGCGTTATATATATTCAATTTAATAGTATGTTATTTTTGTGCTACTTTTTTTTGTATATTTTCTGTTTTGCAATTTATCTTATGGCTGTGTCATTTTTGAGAAGGGTAATCAAATTTTGCGCTTCTTATTCGAAGTTACAAACTTTCTTAGATAATAAAGGATTGGCATTCAAAAATGGTTCATTCATAGGCCACTTTTAGTCAATTGATGTAATAATTTGCATTTTCAGAAATCATAACATATTATGATGTTGCAGAATCCTGATTATATGAGAGATGATTTTTTTATTCATATTGAAACAATCCACTTGCCGGATCGAGGGACTACACAGAATGCGCATAACTTAAGTCCAGAAGATCTTGCTAAGCGTGAAGTGATTGATCTTGACATTGCTAATGATACTTCATATTTGACTGCTAATGTAAGTGTATTTCCAATTCATGCAAAGTACTGATTTCTAATTTATGCATAAGACTTTCAAATAATTATCCTTCATCCTGATTTAAAAAAGCTAGAAGTAGTGCATCTTTTGGTTTGCTGCATTTGTTACGTCATTTTGTATTTTTTGATTTTTGTCTAGAAGATAAAAATTTTTGTTTGGCTTTTCTCAGCATGTTGCTGGGTTCTTTCTTAAATCTGCTTATGCCGTAGTTCCGTGTTAATTAATTTTTATAATTATTTCATAAAACTAACATACATAATGAATAACTTTTCGAATTGAATGTATGCAAAGAATTTGCAGGATATCAGATTGGAAACAACACCATCTAAATTCAAAAGCGTGAAAACAGGACGTGGCCCTTTGATAGGAAACTGGAAAGAAACAATAGAACCGGTGATGTGTGCGTATAAATTGGTAAAGGTGCACTTTAAATGGTTTGGTCTAACGAAAATAGTCGAAAATTACGCACATCGTGTAAGTTCTGTGTTTCTTTGAAATGATTATTTTGAATCAATAGCAAATAGAATTCTTGTCATCCCAAGAACTGTGAAGAAAGACTCTTCTTGTCAGTGTTAATTTTTGGTTGTGAAACACTTCAAATATATTTCAAGCAATATCCACGTCTATTTACGAAATTTCACCGTGAAGTGTTTTGTTGGTTGGATAACTGGTACGGTTTATCGATGGCCGACATTCGCGAAATTGAAGATAAAGCACAAAAAGAATTAGAAGAGGTAAATTGAAAAAGCATGATTAAAATTAGATCTATTAATTGTCTTTTTTTAATTTTTCTGTTATGAGAACAATCATCAGTGTTATATTTAGAGTTAATTCAACTCTTTACTGCATTAATCGTAAAAAAACAATCTGTTGCTTTCGTTTTCAACTTCTATATCCTTCATTCACATTATATATTGATAGTTACATAAATATTTACAAATAGCATTTTGCTAAAAAAGTTTTAGTCATATGCAGCAAGACTTTATATGGCATAGCAGTGAAAAAGCAATGAAAAATAGCAATGAAAAAGATGTTGAGATCGTAACATGAATAACATTAAACAATCTAATTCTGAATTTTTTGAATATCCTTCATTATTTTCAGGCCAGAATAAACGAACCTGTACGCGGCATGATGCCATAGAAATTCAGAATGATATGAGCAAATCAATATTTTCTCTACCAAATAACTTTTACTTGCATCATTTATTCACTGTGAAATCGTTAGTATTTATTTTAGTCTATGATTTTAGAAATGTGGGAGGCGAATTTTGTAAACGGTAAATCCTGTTGATGCCAACATAATATTCGAGAACTTTCATTGCAAATTAAATGTACAACTCCATAATAATGTTTAAATTTGAAGAGTAATGCTTCTGAATTTGAATCTAAAGAAGGTTACTTTGCTATTATATTTATTTCTACGATATCACTTCATGTGTCTCATATTTTCATTTTAATGTTCAACGTCACTATCTTTTCTATCCGTTTTTAAATTCAAATGAAGCTTTCTAGAAGATGCAGTATATTAAAACAGAAAATTTGTTTATACGTTGAACTGATTTGTTAAGTGGTATCTGTGATCTCATACCCCTTATTTATTAGTTTTAGCGGTATTTCGCTCTTTGTTGGTAACGAGCAAAAATGCGAATAACAAACGGGTATATGACAATTTTTTCTTCAAGAAATGTCAAATTTACATTGGAGTGACAATTTTTGGACGTTATATTTACTTTTCTCTGTCTATGAATAAAATTTCGAAAAGTTTGAAACTTTATTAGAAATGTTTGAGACATTGTGATTGCAAGAAAGAGTTTATCACTGTCAATTTGAGCTTAAAACCAATCGCAGCTTACCCTTATCAGAAATGTATCACTATCTGAAGATGTTAATTAAGCAATTTTTGCAGTCTGCATGCATTGTCAATTCTGTCTTGTTGTTTCAAACATTCGTTCTTCATTATTTATTATTATGGATTCAAAAATTTCATTTAGAAAGAGCATTCTATCAACAAATCTTTTAAAGTTTTTTATTCTAGTAATACTAAGCATAACATTCTAGACAACAGACATTTTGATTTTTATTCTCGCTCGTTATCCATTATACTTATGAATAATTTAATATAATAGTGGAAAAATGCCAAAAAATCAAAGATATTTCTGATTCACAGATTTTAGTATTTTAATAGAATTCGCTGATGGAATCTTTTTACTTTTGTGAACTAAAAAAATATGCGTCAGTATCTTTGACATACTTATGATATCATAGTAATTGGAAAAGTATTTGTTAAATTAAGTGATTAATTAGTTGCTGATTAAATCAGTGGATTATTTCATCTATTGAATAGCGAAGTTTTTAAGCATATTTGACCGTGTTTGCTCCTTTTCTCTATCTAAAGTGATATATATTCTTGTTTTTCAAAATATTCTTTTTTACCAAAGAAAAATTTTTTTTTGGTAATGGGTATTTAGGCAATGTATAACTTTATCTTTCATACCGGTTTCTTCATTTTTTTTTTTTTTGATGCAATGTAATTATTATCACTGGCCATTAATAGTTATGAAGATATTCTAGATTTTGTGTGCTTATGATTGAAATGTGCAACTTTCTTTTAGTCATAAATTTTAGAAACTGATTTGAACATTTGGCATAATCAAATAATGATGTTATATTGGAGGAAAAAAAAGCAAACTGAAATAATCATAAAATAGCGTATAATTTTTGGAATAAATTTGGGATTGCAAGAAGTTTCTATTTCTGTATTCTTATTTGCGCAAAATTTTGTGCCATTTATTTAGCACCGATGAATTTTCGAGTTTGAAAGGCTAATACAATACGTGGTTTTCAGGAAATAATTAAAACATTTGCATAAATGATACAAATATTGCCTATTTTTCTCATTGTAACAAGTTGAATATCATATCAATCTGGTATTAATTATCAGAACTCTCTGTGTTGTTTGTTGCACTTGAAAGAAAATATTTTATGTTATAAAATTTGACTGAATATTTGTGATATTTTATATTTTTTCCCGTTTTTTTCAATAAATATTGCTTTCAAATAAAGTGATGAGAAACATTTGGTATTTATACGGTGCTTATCCGTTTTTTCTGAGAATTTTTACAATTTAAATATTTTTAAAATCGAATATGGTAATTCATCTTGTTCTTAGATTTTGTATGAACTCTTTTTTATATTCCACAAATAAATAAAGATTCGGTTAACTATTTTTTTATTTTGAAATACAGGAACTGTACAGCATGGCAAGAAGATAAGAGAGATTTGGAATTTGCAAGTTCAATTTTTTCATCGACAGTCATTGCGAAATATGAGAAGCAATATGTTTCACATTTAAAAGCCAGTCAAAATTATGATGGAAGCAGATGTGAATGCTGAATTATTGAAAACTTGCTGGGCACCATTAGGCTTTAAAGTGGCTAATAAGCATTATGCTGTTAAATTTCATGTCAAGGTATTTCATGATTTTGATCTTATTGACTGTATATTTAAATTACTCATTCATTTATAACAAGAGGAATATTTTATGGATTCATTTCTATCCTGAAGATACAGACTCTTCTTTATTCATTAAATTTTTAAATACAAAATGAAGTCATACGTTGCACTAATTTTGAGTTAACAAATGTAAAAAAAAGTTAACATTTCACAGATCAAAAGATAGGTGACTGTTTATGTGTGTGTATGTGTGTGTGCATGTGTGTATGTGTATGTTTGTGTGTGTATGTGTGTGTGTTTGTGTGTTTCTAGCTCATTTCAATAAGCATTTGATGCAATCATGAATAAGTTATGAACAAGTTTTTATACTTTTTAGCTAATTCTTCGGGACAAGAAAAAAACTAATTTGAAATGAATAATAGTTTTTCATTGTTTGTTTCATATCAGGAAGACAATCTTAAGATAGTATTATTGTTCTAATTATTTTAATTTATCATTTAAGGCTGGACAATTGCATATAATACTGACTGATTACGAATGCATATACTACGAAATTGCTGATTTCATGAAAAAATTTTCATCACTGAATGCTAAAGTAGGTGGCCCAGAAAAGACGTTATTGGAAAAAGTTTACAATATGTTCCTATCATCGACAACGAAAGTATCAAATGAAAATAAGAATGATAATACGCTGGAATTTAATCTTGAGCATATTGTTGGGAAGCGAACGTTGAAATGGCATTTTTTCGGACAACATTTGGATTCCATGAATTATGTAACTTTTCCTTTTTTACAGTTTTCCAATGCTATTTTATGATTTCCATATTAAAATCGATTTCAAGCTTTTTTAATAAGATGAGAAATTTTCTCTCACAGAGTTGGTATAGAATTTATCTAATCAAATATTTTTTTTAAGCCGATTGGTCCCAAACAATGACTTGTTCTGTAAAAGTTTTTATCATCTGCATAGTGAGAAAAAAACTTTTCTGATATTCTGATTTATTTTGAAGTTATGAGTTGCTTTTCTTGATCACATACTAAATTCCAGGTCTTTTCGCACATAACTCGACCGCTGTTAAATATTCTATCGGTTATTGTTGATGAATATGATCTGAGCTCAGTTACGGGTTCGTTCTAATTTGTTCCTATTAATATTTCTCTTAATTTCACTTGCAAAGGTAGATTTTATAGAGAAGAGATTTCTTCAGGTCCTGTATCCGGCACCAACTTCAATGATCTATTTGGAAAACCTTCTGTACAAAAACTGTATGAAACAGTTGTTATGAAATCTATGACAGCGGAAAATATTGGCAGTATTAATAGCGATGAAGAAAGTATAAACAGTGACATTGATGGCAGTAATCACACCGATAAAAATAGTATTGATTCCCTTCCTATAACACCACCTCCTGCATCGACTTATGAAATGATGAGTGATAGAGATCAGGATAAAGAATTTAGGGAAATTCAAACAGTGCGTGAATCACCCCCGAAAAAGCCAAAATTGAAATTTTAAACTCAAAATTTGCTAATCGGACTTAAGTAGGATATTCTTCCATCTTTACGTCACGTCCCGTGGTCTGTTATTAACTGCATTTGTAGTACAAAAATTGATATAAGAATTTTTTAGACAGATTTGCATATAACATACAAATTGTATTTTTTTCTATTATTTTATTTGTTTGCCGTTGTCCATACTGTCAAGTGTAACTTCGCAGTTGTAAATAGCACTGCTACGTATCTATCCTTTGAATCTTTACATTATTGAGAAATAAGAGGCTTTTTTTCTCTTGCACACTCTAGTCAGATACAAATGTAATTCGGTGTTTGTAATATTTAAAGAACCAATGCTTGTAACAATTTTATAAAGATTTATATAATTTACTTCATTTCCACTTTTCGTATGAAATCTTGTAGTAATTTGTGGAAATCTTCATGATTGTATTATATTTTCTAACATGCTTGTAACTGTTTGTATTAATATATAAATACTTTTTCTTTTTGAGTAGTTTTTTTCGTTCTTTTCCAAGAAAGATCAAAGTTGTGACTGATTGAAATTCTCAAGCACTGTTTAAAAATTTATCAAAGTGCACATAAAATAAGCGATATGTAAGGATAGCCGATGAAGTTGAGAATAATTCATCGGATGCAGAAATATTTGCAATTGGTGAGCTAACGTCACTATACGATCATTTCGAGTTGTTTCGCATAATAAATTGTTTGTTTGACGATCCTTTCGGTATCTAGCTGCGGCTCCGCGTGCTGGAATCACGTGCGTTAGATCAAGCTTCGAAAAGCACCAAAAGATACAATAACTTACGGTTTCCTGTGCATGATCAAATACGTACATGACACCGCGACCATACATACTGCTTTTCCAACCACGCTGTAATGGAGGGATGATGACTACTTCAGAAGTTATTAGAAGCAAGAAAAATTAAGTATGATGAAAAAGAAGTAACAAAATATATTTCTTTCAAAAATAATTCAAAAGAATTTGAGCAGTGTTCAAATTAAATCCTCTACTCCGTCCAACAGACAAATAATTTTTCTTTTATGATGAATGGATTAATGGACTTTAAACAGTTGCGATGAGCTCAAAGTATATTTGATTCGAAGTGTTGCATAACAATATTAGTTGATTTATTTTGGATTATTTAGGTCACTAATTGATGGCGAGTTATTATGAGTTACTGATCAGAGAGATTTGCAATTCAGATTTCTAAAGTACTTCAGAAATTGTCCTGCCCGCTTTCTCAAATTGTTAAAGTACATTCCAATTTTCCGATGTATAAAATATTTTATTAATTGATGTAATAATTAAAGTGGTTCATGTTCAATTTAGGAAAGTCAGGAGTGATATTGTTACTTTTCCATAAATTTTGAAGTGCAAAATTTCCCGATACTTTCGTGTTCATGAAATTCTCTACCTTTCAAGTTATTAGCGCTTGTTCGATTGCCTAATACACGGAACATGATGGAAAGTTTTGCACAATCTTGGAAAATTATTTCAAATCAATATTTGCAAGCGCAAATATTATTAAATATGAATTTATATATTTTCAATAATTCTGAAACTTTTCGAATAATGAAGTTCACGAGTATCTGCTGTCGGCAAAAAATTACCTTTGCCGCAAAAGGCGTCATTTCGTTGATATCATCAAACAGAAGTAATCGTGCAGCATCTCGTTGTGATATTTTGATGAATGCACGCTCCATACATGAAGCTATTTCATCCCTATAATTGATTCTTTCTGATTAAGCTTTTGAATCCTTCCGAATAAGCGGAAAACTCACCGTACTGTGTCCATTGATATACGTATGAACAATGCGTAGTAAGGACTGGGAATATTTTTTTCCGCTAACATTATCTGTAATGATTAAGTTTAAGGAAATTAAATGTGATAATTGAAACAAGCTAAACTAGTAGATTAACGGAGTTTCATTTAATAAGCCCATCAGAATCTTGTTTACTTCAGACTAGTCACAAATAACGTTTTAAAAAATGGATACCTTATGATAAGCACCTTCAATAAGCGATTGCTCTAATGTCACGGGTGTCTTGATATATGGATTCTTCTGTTGAATATCTTGATCGATCTGTTCCAATAACTACAAATTTCATTTGAAATTAGCAACTTACAATAGAAATACTATCTATTCGCCGAAAATTCCAGAATAGTCATCCACGAAACTTTTGTAGTTCTTGAAAAGTACACAATATTGAAATCTTATCGACCGATTTTAAAAGAATTTCTTTTTCCAAACAGATAGCATAATTTTTTTTCAGCTACTCATATCAAAATACCATGTGGAATTGAGTATGTTGACTTGTAGCCAAAAGGAACATAAGATCTAAACCAATCATCAACCATTTATTTGGCCATTCTTCGCTTGAACTGAAATTTAAATATTTAATTGATGTTAAAACAATAAAGCAATAATTCACCTAAGCAACTTTTAACGGATCTTCATATTTACCCATAAGAATTGTAGAAGCTAATGAGAATAGTGATAGCTTCACGGAATGAATTCAGATCACATCTGAGTATGGCACACAAAGCGTCTATTTCCAAAACATCTCCTGTAATCCAGTTTGAGAGAAAATGAGAATGATTAAATTGAAAGATCGTGAAATAAATTCAGGTCTTCATCAATCTTACTAATGGTAAAATAAAACTTACGATGAATCATAAGCAAAGCCTGATGACTGAGACCACGCAAAGCGTTTCTGTTATTCATCAATTCCTGAAAAACGAAACGATGTGAGATATTTTGAGAAAAACTCAGTTTTCCGATCAAACGGAAATAGACCATAAATTCTTAAATAAGGATCAGATATGTGTGACAAAGCGCAGCGTACACATATGAACTTCTTCCAGATGTTCGCGTACTACATATTAGCGAATGACGACTGAAGGATATCTCCACAATATCTTCCGCACGAATCGTTGATGTTACCTTTCGGATAAGAGCTTATGAAAAGTCGATAATGTATGTGTCAAGCATACCTTAATTCGTTTCAGTCTGATACCAATCATTTCGAGATTTTTCGGCTCCTTATTCCACTCAACCATCAGCTTCCTGCCTTCAACTTCCATCTGCATGCATATTATCATTTGTGATTTATTCTAATTCTTTTTTTTCATTTGTAACACTTCAAAGAATTTTTCTTACTATAAGATATTATTTTGGTTCACTTATAACATTTAAAGTAATGCCGAAAGGAATATGTAAAACATTATACCTCGGCACTTTTTAATACCATTTCCAGTTGTGAAAGATCTCGTTTCGATTCTTGTCGCCATTCGTCCAATAATCGCTGATGTACAATATCCAATTTTGCCATCTAATTCTCGTTTTCGATTTCAATCTAAGAACACAATTCAATGATACATCGAAAAACACTGTTGCATTTTTTAATCTTCTATATTTTTCTAATGCTAAATTTCTTTTTCCTTTTTTTTTCTGCCAATAATTGAAAAACGTATTAACTTTTTGCATATAATAAATATCAACTTTCTATAATTTAAATTCTAAAAGAAAAGAAAGATACGACAATTAGAAAAAATTCCATTAAAAGATATCCACAAATGATATTTAGAAAAATAAGCCATTATATATGTATATATATATGATATTATTGAGGATATCGATTGGTAAATAAATAAATAGAATTGAGAACTGCTATATATCATCATCATCATCATCACTGTCACTGTCGCTCTTACTATTACTGTCATCGTCACCGCCCTCGTCGTCGTCCGTTCTCTCACTCTCTACCCGTCCTCAACAACAAAAGAATCCATCTCCATTGCTCATTTCATCGACAGCATTTATTTTAACATAAAAATTGCAAATCAGACACAAAAATGCTTGTTATCAATGACATTTCTCTCGCTTGAATGTAAAGAATGAGAGAAGAAAAAAAAAGAAAGGGAACAGCTGGTGAAAGAGAATGAAAAGGATATTTGGAATAAATTAAAAGCTATTTTGTTGCGTTGCTCTCATTTCGTTTCATTTCGTCTGAGAATTTTCGGGCCATTAAATTTAGCCTCAACATTAATAGTGCAGCCAACATTTGTATTATGGGCTAAATTATTCTTACTTTCCTTACTCCTCATTGCCATGCTCATTTTTGCTCATCAAAATAAACGTAAAATTAAAATTAGCAAAAAAAGAGATTTTGCAATTTGGTATGTTGCATATGGACTGGAAGAGTTTGAAGAAGAGTATTCTATAAAAATTATCCAATTTAGCTTTTTGCTTTTATTTCTACGATTTTTTGTAGGCTTGTTAACAAATTGGTAAATCTGATTTAACCTTCAATTTCATTGTCGTAGCTAATTTCGAGAGGAAGTTAATAAACATTAATCAGCTTGTACTAAATAACCAATTATAGTAATTGTTGTGTTACAGATGTTAACTGTTCATTAAATATCTAAGCTAAACAAACTAAAAAGTTTAAATGTAAAGTAAAATTAGTATTGGAAATGGATTTTGTAATTTAAAATATAATCTTTTGCTATAATTTATCAAAGAGCACAATAATTTTAGAGGCTGTTTTTTTATTTGAATGAATTAATGAATGAATGGAAATTGAAGGATTCAAAAAGTTCATGTTGTAATTGGGTTACAGTTCACTTTGAATGAATGATTAATTCAGTGTGAAGTGTCCGATATGATTAATCCTTCTAAATTATAAAATTTTTTGGTTCCATTTTGTTAAGAAAGAATGAGGCACAAAAAAGTTCCGCTATCCTTACTTAAAAATGACATCAAATTTAGTTTTAAATTTTGAAAAATTTCACTGCTTCATATGTGTCCGATTGCTATGGCTTCTTATTGCTGACAATGTGGGATGTAAGAAGTAAGGGAGTGTTGGAAGGATGGAATTGCTTTGCTAGATGTCGAGAGGAGTTCTGCTTATCATTGATTATGGACAGTACTGCTGTTCAACAATTTATTGGACCCCTTGAATAGCTATACCCAATAGATTTTCATTCCTCACTGAATAACATAGCAAATTTCATTTCAAACCTGCAAGCTGCTGGATGTTCTATTTTGAGATTTCAAATAAAAAACGATAAATGACTGGCCTGAATCGATAATTTTCGGAAAAATTTTATCGACATTCATCTAAAGTCCATATTAATTAGGCCATTTTTGCAACATATTTCATTTCAATTTTCCTTCTGCAAATTCGACTGTGAGCTTTCCATAAACGAGGAAATGAACTTTTATTTTCTGTGTGAGACGCATAATTACCTGTATTGAATTGCTATCGTTCGAGTCATTCTTCATAATCATCGAGGCTACAGCACTATTATTTTAGAACTCGAGATCACTCAAAGAATTTTTAAAAAAATTAATCGTCGAAAATATCCTTTTTAAATATCCTCTGGTAACTAACGTAACCAATCTTGGAGATCTTTTTCTAGTTCTTATCTGAATTTTTCGTCTCATACATTTCCCATTTTTTTGCCTCATACATTTCCTATTAATTAATAAATAGTGATTTTATAAATTACTGATTATTGATATTAATAGGAATAGAATGGATGATTTTGAAAGATAACAATGATATTTTAATTTCATTTCTTCACTGATTATTGCTAGCTTTTCAGTCATAACAATAATAATAGGATGGATGAAATGGTTGATGAAATAATACAAGTCATTCAATAAAATGAGCAGTTTTTTTTCTCCTTTTTATACAACCAATAGAGAGGAGTGCACTTATGGAAGTGTCACCTACTTTTCATCATTATTTCATTTCTTCTTTTCATACGCTTCACTATCATTAATTCTCCTCAATTTTCATCCATTCTTTTCCTATTACATTAACGTACTATTACTTACGTACGCTTACATCTCACAGAAATGATAACACATAATCTCATGAATAAAATTATTAAACATTATATCATAAATTTGAGCATTTTCCATTTAAATTTAAAACATATTTTTTTATTATCAAAGTGATTACAGTATGGAAGAAAATAAATGCATTGCCATGATGTTTTTTGAAGATTTGAATGATATTTCAGATGATATTATAAGTTTTTTTTAAAGAAATCTTCGGCAAATTGTTGTGAACTTGTCCACAACGAATATGCTATCCACCCTTTGTGCACAGGAGCCAAAAGGTTTTGTTTTAGCTAAATTGTTTTTTGGATTAGTTTACGAAGTTTTTTACAAATATTTTAAGCATAGCTAAATCGATCGAATTGCTATTGACTAACAACTGTAATATGTTGCTATGATCGTCATTTTTTAGATAGATGTACTTGGAAATTTTTAGGTGGTTTTGAGTAAATGTACCTGGAAATTTTTACATAGTCATATTTGGAAGTTAAATCAACTTCGAATTTTCTTGGCAATACTTGACCGGTCTGATCTGTGTGGTCAGTCATATTCCCTTTGTGGATACCTTATGTAATCTGAAAATTTTATATACATTAAGCAAAAAACAAAGATTTTATCGGAATATTGTATTTGAATTAAATGATTTATTTACAACAATCAGTCTATTACTGATCCAACTTTTAAATGCTGAGAATTTGATAATTTCAAAATTTTGCAGTGCCAAAATCAGAATCGTTGCCGGAAGAAAAAGCAACTAGCATAGCCACTGATCTTTCGAAATGTATCGCTGAAATACAATGTTTTGATCAAAATGTGGAAGAAGTAAATGCACAAGCCGTAGCAAAATTAATTTCGGTAAGTAAGTGTGTGTGCATTAAGGATTTCAAAATGTTGCGAAACCAAAATATTTAAATGAATTTGATAATCGAAAAACCGGAATTTACCTGTAGGTAGGCAGACTACTTCTGTATAAATTTGTGCTAGCCTTCAGATTGAAGTTAATATATAGTTTGATAATTTGGAAAGTTTCAGAAAAAGAAAGTATAGCTGAAATAAAACGATACATTGCATGAAGCTTTTAGCAAATAATTAGTCGAAAAAAGACTGATATCAGCAATTAATGAGCATGTAAGTTTAAAGCGTGCTAGATAAGTATATGTAAATAAACATGCGTATGGCGTCTTAATTGTTGATATATTAATAGAAATATTTAATTTCGACTTGTTTATTTTTTACTTTTTATCGATTCTTATTTCCATACGATGCTTTTTACAAAATTTTAATTTAAACTCAGTTTGAGAACTTTATGGTGGCTATTACAACAAAAGCAGATAATGTTAAATCAAGATATATCATATTTCCAAGCTAAAAAAATACTGTCATTTATTGGCTTCTAGAATAGCCATTCTAATATCCGATTATATATATTTTTTATTGTTACCTCAGTGGTGATTTTTGATTATTCAGCTATCATTAATTTTAGAAAGCCAAACTCAGTGAAATTGGAAGTCTGATTAATGAAATCTGTGCGTACCGCATAACCGCAGCAATTCAGGAACGTGATGATATGTGGCGTCGTCATGAAACCGCTCAAATATCATTTTTGCAAAACGAAAACTCCCAAATGTTGACTGGACTGCATGCCGAAATTGAGAGACTGCATCATCATTTAAGAGGTAATAGCAATTTACACTCTAAAAGATTTGAAATATTAAAAAAAGAAAAGAAATTAAAGATTTTTTTGCAGTTCGTTCCCTTTCTTCAGTGCGCACTTTCAGTTATTTCAAAATTTTCTGCCTTTTAATTAGTGATTTTGCTTACTATTAATCAGCTTGATGATGAATAAAAAACATCAATTTAAACAGCTGGGTTTTAGTAGTGAAAGCTAAACGGTCTGGGAAATACAGTCGCTTTCTTATCATACAATTTAAATTGTTTGGCGATGAAATTCTTTAACGAACAGAGATATATTCTTCTAGACAACTTTTTTTTTGGCCGTATTTATAATCCTATAACTGCTATTTTAATTATGATTTAATTTATTTAAAACAGCAAGCCATGTCCTACAAAAATGCTAACTTTTTTTTCTAGAAAGCATAATGACTCATCCATTTATATACCATTCACCTAATGGTTTCTATCATTTTACAGATTTTTAAGATATTTCCTGATGGTATTACTTGAAAGATTAATTGGACAAGAGATTGTAATCTGCAAAATTTCAAACTTCAGAAAAGTCTTGCTTCAACTATTTCAGTGTTGATGCAGTTTTTATATTCAAATTACATAATATTTAATTTTTCAAATTTTTGGCTTCTCAGTTCACAAGATTCGGAATTATGAAATGTTCAAGGCAAACAGCTTTTCAGAACTGGAATAAAAAAAGAATTGGAATGTTTAATTGAAATATTTAATTTGCTTTGATAGATCAAGAATTAATTTCAAAAAATTGCTAATTTGTGGCGCTGAGATAAGCATGCGATTTCAAAGAAGACATATTACATTAAAGCGAAAATGTTCCTAATATTAGACCTATCATCCAGTTTGATTTATTATTTTTTAATTCTAGCATTTTAGCATTCATCTAAATGATTTTGCTCTATTTTTATCAATTACAGATCTCTACCGTAGACTTTATGTGAAGAATTCATTCGACAGCAATATAACACTTGAAAATGAAAATGAATTGCTCCGAAAAAGGTAGTTTTTTCTTTACATCAAGCTTCATAAAAAATCTTTTTAAAACTTCAAATTTATTAGCTAATGAAGACATGGCATGAGTCGTTCTTTTACTCATTTGCTGGCAAGAAAATTCCCAATTTTATTTAGGAGAATTAAATGCTTAAAATTTAGGAAGAAGGAAATGTTTCATGCTTTAAAAAAACAATTTCAACGATCCATGAATTTGGTCTTTCAGAGAAAGTTATCCATACTTTTTTTTTCTTTCTCTTATTCCAATAGATTGTTTTCCTACTTTTTTACGGTAGGGGGAAATGGTTATTTTATTTATAAATATGAAATTGATGTTGATTTTAAGTCTAAAAGAGATTATTGGAAAAATTCAACGAACACAAACCTTAGAGAAAAATAAAAAAATTCTCTAGAATTCTGCATTTTTTTGGTTTGTTTTCTGGATATTCCTTCAACTTTCATATTTATTGATAATCAATCAATTATTTTCCGCGAAACTTAAAAAAAAACTAATTTTAAGGGAGTAATTATCATTATGAAAGATTTGTCTTCGAGATGAATTGCTCATTTTATAGGCGCATTACGTTGTGCTTTATTTCTTGGGATTCATCGAATTCAGAAATTTATAGTGAAATTTTGATGGGGATAATTGTTTCATTGACGAAACCGATAAAATGTTGAAATTCTGCAAAAAAAGTTAGCACTCACTAATATGGCTTAAATATATGGCTTCAGTATTTTGTGATTTTTTGTGAATACTTTGGTAATTGTTGAAAAGGATATAACAGTTAAGGCTTTCCTATGAATGTATTTCAAAGTTCACAGATATCTTAACTGAACTAATCATGATTCATTATTATAATGATACACATGGAACGGATATATCTTAACATGAGCTAATTTAATTGTTATATATAGTCTCATTGGATATATACACGTTTTTATTACTTGAATGGTTATAAGATGCACCAACATTTAATACGTGAACGAATGAAATAATCTAATTCAGTTGTTCGTTATCAAATTGAATAATCATAAACTGGTTTCATTTTTACATAAAGCTAAAATACTGTGTGATTAACAATTAACGAATATGCCATTTTGCAAAACCTTAAGCGTATTTTATTAGCGGTAAGTGCTTTTTATTTCTTTATAAAAAACGTATACGCTTTTCTTGGATTTTTTAGATGGAATCAATTTTGATTGTGATCGAAATTGATTCCATCAAAAAAATTTCATCTAAAAGATCTCTTGCTTATTTCACTGTTTAGACTGTTCTTTAAACAATTCGGTTTTTCCATACTTGATAAAAGTTTTCTCATGAAATGAAAATAGCTAGTGAAAAGAAAACAGCATGCTTGAGTTCATAATGTTTGTATCAATCATTGTCTTTAACTTAATCGACACTTTAAAGTACATCTTTTTCTCTAATTTCAATCATAAATTTCAGGATTATAATAAACCTGTGAAGCGCATATAAATTCTGAAGATGAAATTTGTTGCATATTTTTAACTGTATTTGGATTAAGTGCATTGATAGTAAGAGAACATATAATCAAATCGTTCCGTAATAGAGAAATTATATATGAAAAAGTAAACAAAAGGATTATTCATTTCAGTCAACAAGTATTGTTTGTATCGGACATTATTTTCAGAAGAGATCTGGGATGATGTTCAGAGTTGATATCAGATTTAAATTTTAGCAACATCGTTAATTAATTTTCTGTCAACTTAGGTCCTACTTAATTTGAAAAAATTAATAGATAAGCATTTGTTCGATTACATATTTGTGTTAAAAAAATTGTTTTTATTACAAAAAAAATTAAGAAACTATTCGGCTTCCTTTCTTCCCGCTCTTCGCTTGTCAAAGATTGAGTGAGGGCAATGGAAAAGATAATTCGCAAATATTATTTCCAATATTTAACTATTGGGCTGATAGAGAGTTATTATTGTGCTTGAATAATTCACTTTGTTATCATTTTTTACTTCTTTTTCTTTAAATTATAAGGCTTAAACAGATACGAAATTCTTTAAGTTAAAAAAAGTCAAACAAATATGATCAAATCTTTAGTTAAACACTTAAAATTATACTTTGTTTTTCGATTTGTCTATTTATCAAAATTTGTTTACGATTAGTGGTACATGCAGTTTGAAATGCAATTATTCACTTAACAATTATGATTACAGGCTAGAGATAGAAAGACAGAATACGGATAAGCTGACTGAGGAATTGGAGAAATGTAAGAAAAAATCGCGAGACTTGGAGCAACAAACTAATGAAACTATCAAAACGCTACGAAATCAGCTTGCCTATCAGGTAAAGTATTAATTTCATCATTTAATTATCCATGCTAATCACTATCATCACTTTCAACATTCATCACTTATTCATATTATGATAAGATAAAAAGATTGCTATCATGGGAAATGGAATCTTATACGTGATTACATCACATGTCATAAAGACACTATTGAAAAATTTTTGAGTATCAAAAAACCCCGACATACCTCTGTTACTTTTAGCGATATGCGAAAATTTTTAAAAATGAAGTAGAGACTAAATCGTGTTAAAATTAAATTCATATGAATTTCTAGCTTAAAACTAATTAGTTAATCTCAGCTTATTTTTTATCGTTTAAATATAGCTTCTAAGTTTTTTCTTTTGGGAACATTTATCTGTCACTTTTTTTGACTTTCTTTTTTCTAAAAATATGAAAAATTCAGTTCTGATTATTTAATTTCTAGCAAAATACAACATTTCATTTCAAATAATTGAAAAGAAAAAGCAATTTGCTTGACATTTGCATAGTTTTGGTTATTAAATTGCAAAAAAATATGCCGGAGAAAGGTATAAATGAAATGTGCAGAATAAAAGAATTCGTCAACTAACCGATGAACTTCATGGGAGGACACCTCAGGCAACTAAATTAATGGTTCAGGTAATGATGCTTCATTTTTCATCCATTCACTAAGAGCAATTATATGTAATAGGATTGCGCAAAATGAAATCCATCATTGGAGTTTTTGAATTTTTTTTTAAAAAATTTACTCCTGATGAAAAAAATCATTATGTTGAAATCAGAGCCTAAACAGAACTTTTGTGATTCTAGAAAAATTCGATCTTCATAAAAGTTTTTTGAAAATTACTTATGATTCTTAACATCTGACTTATGTTTCTTTTATACCTGACGCTTTTTATGATTGTATTTCATTCTAAAAGTAGTTTATGTTTTTCAGCATTTTCTTTGGAGCTATAAATATTTAAAAAAAATGATTTTCAGAAATTACAAATTAATATTTTTAAGCTTCCATTTGGATCGGTAACTCAAGCAACTGTAAGCGAGATTCCAGCTCGAATTCGTTTCCATTCGCAACCAACCATTTATTGGAGTCCTGCTCCGGCATCATTTTTTGGTAAAAATGGCAATAATTTACCACATAAGGGTGTAGTCCATAACGCTTCAATAATTTATCCAGGCGGACGACCAAATGTTGTTGCACAAAGGTACAGCTACACGTCTTCAACGTAAGTCTATCATTATTTTCAGTTTTTCAAGATGACTTTTTTTACGGACTCGAAAATTTTTAGTGCTTCTACAATGTTATAATTCATCATAAAAAAACAGCAATAGTTCATTGTGTTTGCGAGTTTATACCTGTAAGGTAATGAAATATATTGCTGATAATTTATCGGTTTTTTGCTTTAAATTGTTTGATAATTTTAAAATTAGGTCTTGTTTGCAGTCCACGTTCACATCATCTACCATCGTTATACTTAAAACCACGCAACATACCATCCTCGGGACACAGTATTGAGAAGCCAACACTATTACAAATGATAAGATTACATGATCGAATGTCGCTTACCCGTTCATTATATGAAATTCGAAATTCTTTGATTTCAAACAATACTATATCATCAAATTCCACGAATTCTAAAATTTCGATCTCAACTGATGAATCAATGCAAAATACGATATAATTAATATGCGCCCGTCGAGAATGATCATTTTAAGCATAGTATGAAATTTGTGATGTAAATTGGTTTTAATTTATGATATGAATTAATATCAAATAAAAATTGTTCAAAATTTTTCATGAATTAAACTCAGACATGACATGCAAATTCAAACTTGAAAATTAGTTTAGAATTTTTGACGAAATGTTTACAGAAAGAGAGTAGAGAAATAAGATATTACAATTTCTAAAATATTTTTTCTAGAAAAGAGGTGTAAAAAAAAAATGTTCCAAAATTTTTTTCTCAAAACTTGCTATCATTCACGTTGGAAAACAGGACACTGAAAACAATATAAATTCAAAGTTTTCAATGTCCTCTTTTTAAAAACATCAATAAAATCATTTACCTGAATGAAAGAAAGCTGAAGCAGCAAATGTATATCACGTTAAATGATGTGTAGAGAATGAATAAAGTGAGATTACTTTTTGGCGTTATAATGTGATAAAATGCAGATGAAATAATCATGTTCACGGATAGCTTGATAAGATTACATAGAAGATAAGAAAGCCATAGGAGACAAATCATTACTTTCATATACGACTGTAAAATTTATTGATACCTTCAAAAATAATTTTTTTTTTTGTTCAGCCTAATTTAATCCAACGAAAATGATGATGTTAGTGTGGCAAATGTCTAAAAATAGCCTGCTTTAGCCAGACATTTTAAAATTAGCTTGTGGTGGAACTTTTGATTTTAATCACACACAAGGTCCATATCATTTCGATGGGCTGCTTAATTATTTAACATTCTTAATAGCATGACCATCTTAACATGACAATGTAATACGGATGTGGAATTTTTTGCAAGTCATTGGAGTTAATTTAATTTGAAATAAATTAAACCTTCGTTGAATCGCTCGTGTAATTTAAACAACACTGATCAAAAAAACATAACAACGGCAGATTGAATAAAAAAGTTTATGCTTTAAACTTTTTTTTTGCTTGAATTATTACGCTGTTTTCATGGCAAATTTGCATATTAATCCTCAAAAATATTGTTGCTCTCTAAATGCTCAAAAATTTAACTGAAACATCTTCTCGGGAAAATTTTTGCATTAAATGTAAATTTATTTTAATAAAACATAAGCTTTTGATGGACAATATGAAACAGTGGTTATCAAAATTTGTATATTATTTATCTGTTTCAAAATTTAATTTAAATATAACAATAAGAAAGTTGCTCAGTTATTATATATCAAGCAATAGTTTTCTGGTTGCTTGCTCGGTCGAACAAAGTGATCGATTTTATTTTTCTTTTTGCTTTCAGTCTGAAAATTTTATTTTAACCGTCGATATCAGCTCAGTGAAGATATGTCGAAGAAAGCTAAATTGCTTGTGTTAATTCTCATCGTCCTCATTGCTATGCCTAATACAATGGCAAGAAGGTTTATTAAATTCTCTTTTTTGTTACTTCTTATTTTATTAATTTAAAAATTTATTGATCCAATAAAAAACACATAGAATAAAGTGCTTTCTTATCGATATCTCAAAAAAGAAAAACTTCAAAGTTTCAAATTTACATTTCAAACTTTAAATGTAAAAATTGAACATATTTAGTTTCAAGATGTTTCAAACTGATAAAATGAACTGTTGATGTTTGAATTACAGAGTGACAGCATGCAATAGCAGATGCAGAAAATATTGGCAATGTGTGATTAATGATGAACCAAACTGTGACATCTTCAAAAGAAGCTGTGTTTGCGAACCGGTGCCAGTTAAATTTTAGCGATAAGCGATCATAATAAAATTGATGCTCGTAAAATGCTATTTTTTGCGCAGTGATCATTCTCTTTTGATTATCCCATCGCTTCATCACATCGATGTGTAAATAACACAAATTTCAATAAATTTCATTCATTTTCCATTCTAGAAACAATTATGCTATATGCTCACATTATTCTACCATTCATTCCTAAATGAATGATTATGTTGAGGATATTTCACGTTAGGCTCGCGAAAGATATTTTAGTTTTCTCTTTTATCTGTTGCATCCAGATTTTTTTTTGCAGTGGCACTGAATATTTTCCGCCGAAATCATCAATGTGTATTAGTTTTGAAGTAGAATAGAATGACGTGTGGAAATCTCGGAGACATAATTTGTTATGTGATCACGAGATCAAAGGTCATTTAGGAATTAATTTTTGAAATGTTTGAATATTTTATCATTGTTTTACCGATTGAACAGTCTGAAGCTATAAATTAGTAAATGTTAGAGACAAAATCTTGTTAAATTAACAAAGGCCAAGACAAAAAATCGATGATCTGCGATAAGAGTGTTACCTAACGTGAAATGGTATTTCGTGAAGGGAACCAGGCGTAGTATCTAATGGCTTCAGTGTCGGAAGCCAATAATTGTATAAACATGCCGCACTGAAACGAAAAATGAGACTTACCATTTCAAATGATTACTAATTATCAATGCTAAAAATTGCTTCATTCAAAAGTTTATCATAAGATGAAATGATTCTAACATGTTTAAATATTTATTTTTTTTGAAAACTGAAAATTGAATAAAGCGGACTTTCTAAAAAAATCAAAGAACAAGTGAAGACCGAAAATGAAAACCAAAAAACAGCACAACATCTACTGAAACCTTACTTCGTTTATTCGGTTACATATTTAGTAAAAACATAAAATTAAGTAAATTCACAATTTTCTTGAATAATATGTTTATTCTTAGTTAAATATAAATTATCTTATGAACAATTGCTTAAAGTATTTCTACTTGAAATTCTCATTATCCCGTACAAATCCAAGAAAGAAGATATGAGTTTTAATATTCGCGATTAAAAGAGATTAAATGCTGTCGTATCAATATATAACAACAATCCAACACTCATTTGAAGATCAATTTTGCTATCCAGAATTTTTGTACAAACTGGGATATAGATATAGGAGTTAAAATTTTTGGATTCTCCCCAAAATAAAACTATTTACATTACACATAGACTAAGTCAAGTAGATGGTATCAAAAAGATAACAATAAAATCAAACAGTATTATCTGTTTAGGACTACGTGTACTGATTCAAATAACGAGGCACATAATGTAGATATGAAGGGTATATTTTCCACTCTAAATTTAAAAAAAAAAGGGTGGAAAAATTCAAATTTGCACCAAAGGCATTAAAGAACTTGCATAAAAATCTTGCTGTGAGCTGATTACTGCATTAAGCCACTGCGTCCTCAAAGTGGCTTCGCGAAACGCGACACAATAACCCATATATTTCGATTTATATTTGAAAGTATTATCTTTTGGTAGTATGAATGTGAGAGTGTGCGGATAAGGTGGTTTACGACTACTTTCATGTCCAATGTACCACAGTATATCGTCCGTATGCCATTCATTCACTTTTTTCAAAGCCTACAAAAATTGGAACTGTACATCTGTTAATTTTGAAATTTACAAAGCCTATTAATATGTGTCAAAGCAGGAAATTTTAAATCTTCTGTTCAATTTCTGACTCAGTGTTTAATTAATTAGCAAAAGACTCAATCAAATAGAAAATAGGATAGTGAAAGAAAAAAAAAGAAAATAGGACAGTCAAACAAAATGAATAAATAAAAAGAAATGAAACTATATTAATGTTATGGAGAGTTTTTTAACCATAAGTGGAGTTCCAAATCGAAATCATTACTTATGAAGCAAAATCGAAATCATTTTTCATTATCATCAAAATTATCATTATTACGACAAAAAATTAAGACTGAATTAATTTCAAAGATTTTAGACTAGCTAAACAAGACAATATTTATCCCCTCATCAAATTTACAATACCAGTAAAATTTAACATGATTTCATACCTTATTATAATAAGCAACTAATCCGCCCTCTAATTTCAAATGACCAGCGCTGAACGACTTTGTCCCCTGTTCTGCAATCCGCACATCATCCGCGAATGGATATGAAAGCTGAGGAGAAAAGATTGTTTAATCAAACATTACAAAATGCAAGTACCTATTGCCAAATTTAAAAAAAAAAAACAAAAAAAGGCTTTTTGATTTATTTGAATTTTTACTTTTTCAAGCTACTACTTATAAACTTATCACTTTTTATAATTATTTCCTAATCACCTCCTGAGTAGCGAGCATGGCCTATACTTAATCATTATTTATTTTCTTCGCTTATAAAACAAAGCAACTTATCTTTCGAAACCTTAAATGCATCATATTAATTCCAGTCTCATTCTTATACCAGCCCATATCAATTATAACGCAATTACACAAACTCAATCTTCTTCAACGAATAAAACCATGCTAATGAATTCATTTCACATCTCTCCCACACATCAGGCTCAAATATTACCATCTTATAATTTTTTGTGCATTCCTACCTATTTATGTGTATTCTTTTGTAAAAATATATTTATGTAATAATTTAAATAACTAAACTGCTTGCTACACATATTAAAGAGAAGCTTAATTAGGGCGTTAAAAAAATTAACCCGAAATGAATAAGGAATAGGATCTCTCTTAAATAGAAGAAAACATTCAGCAGGTTCCCAGTCAAGCCATCTGCCAGTAATCATTGAGCTCATTTTCTCAGACGGATTCACGCGTCTTTCCAACTGACCACATTTTATTTCCTAAAAGAATATTTTAATATCAGTCAATGTTACTTGAAGCCTTCCAAAATGCTACTAGCTAAAACGAGTAGTTTTCCTCTGATGATGAATATGTAGCTATCTTACCTCAAACAGTGCAAAATTGTCTACATCAGTCTCACTACGAATAGCTGGTCTGTTTCTAGCTGCATCACAAACCTGCAAATACAAAAATTTGAATTATCATTAAAACCATGGTTTGAAAAGTTTCAGCTATAAGATCAATAATATAAATAGCAAAATCCAAAGTACTCACTTGTTCCGCATTTGAAGATGATTGCACATTAAATGTATGATTATCTTTCTCAAGAATATGTACAGGAACAAGAAAACCATCTGCACGAGCCTGAAATCCAATGCACAAACTTTGCCTCAGTTAAAATTTGAAAATTTGAAAAATGGAAATGAAAAAATATTCTCAAAACCTTCGTTTGGTTTGGTTTCTCTTGCAACATATTCATTTTCGACTTTATAATCATTTCACGCGCTGAAATTCGAAATATAGAGGCATAATGTGTAAGAAGATCTTTGACGAGATTCACTTGCTGCATTGTGGCAGCGAAGCTGTTATCTGCTCCATTACCCTAAAATTCAAGTTTAGCTAGGAAATTTACAGAAAAAAATATAATTGAAATATATTATACAACGAAATTCTAAGGAGTGAGTAATATAGGAGTAAGGAATGGCCAAGATTATCTCATAGCTTACAAAGCGGTGGATCAAATTATATAATTTGCAAACAAAATTTAAGAAAACAGATTACTGAACAATTTATTTTTTAATTTTCAGAATACTCGGAATCACGACAAGGCCAAATTCATGACGTATATTAAACAGAGTTTGTAGACATGAAAGAAAGAGAAATAAAATAAAAATAAAACAAAGACCTGCTCAACTGAAAACAACGTTGGTCCAAAAATTTTTGCGACATTTTCGATGGTTGCTAAATTTGTATTTGCAAGTTCTGTCACATCATTTAAATGATCAAGAATACGTCTCAGTGTCTGAATGCGTATTCGTGGCAAACCCATCAAAATTTCATGATATTCATCTAATCTAGTTGGTTCTGAAAATAAAATTCATTGAAACTTATGGTCCAATGAAAAAACTTTGAAGCCAAGTACCTTTCATGTTGGCAACAGCAAAAAGTCGATCTTGAATGTGATACGGGACAAGCGGAGAATCAAGTTGTCTGAAAAACGACCGAAGTACATCAGCTACTACATTTATCATATCATCTGATCCAGGCAACAAGTGCACATTTACAGGGTCTGAAATCATAATACTTAACTGAAATTATATTATTTCCATGTTAAGCAAAAAAAGAAATGAAAAAACATTAAAAATAATAAAATAGAAAATAATGAAAACCCATATATTTGAAGATCTTTTTTAAAGTACAAAATTTAGGAAAAGCTTACTGATAACAATTTACCTTTTCTAAATTCAGCTAACAGCGCACGAACTTCAACATTAGGGCCATTACGACGATACAAACCGGGTTGAAGAAGACCATAAGTAGAAATGAATTTTATACACCTGTGAAAAAAATGCAATTTATCATTTAAAAATATTATAGACATCAATAACGAAGAATCATTTATGACAAAAATTTAGTCGTTCACTAAAAATAAGAAAGCTCATCCATTTTTTTATCGGAATCAGTGATTTGCCTCTTATTAAATCCCACTATTTAATACTTTTGAGTACAAACTTACTTATCAACAATAACAGGAACATCGTCTGATGTTAACTTCGAGTCCTCCAATCGATAACCACTACATTCCATTTCATGACTTAATAAATCAATCCATGTTACAGTAGCCGAATCATACTCAGCTTGCACGAATAGAGAACTATAAAGAAGCTGTAAACAAGAATGAAAATTGAAAACTTTTCCTTCATAATCTCTCTCACATTAAAAAAAAAAAGTTCCTAACTAAAATAATCTAAAAATCAAAAATAAAGATTTCAAAATTTTTCGTATTTAAAAAAAAGACAAACCCTCCCTCTTGTAACAAAAGGAATGGTCCTTTCATCGAACCAATAACCGACGCACACCAATCAACTTTGTTCAATGTACTTTTCATTCCAACAAATTTACGCACATCAAGTTCAAACAATATAGCACAACTATCCAATGTGTAATATAATTTATGCTGCAATTTTTTCATCTTATTGTGAAAAATTCCAAAATTATTCGATTATGTGAAACTGGAACACAGGCTTGAAGCAGGAATTCACTAACTTGATCAAGAAACATCCAACCGTTTGACCAGGCGCACGCTGTTCCTTGACGTATCCATACCTTACCTCCAGCAGTTAGACTTCTTACACTGTACAGCAACAATTCATTCTTCGGCATAATACACTGAAAACTTGCAACAAATGCTCCTGTTAAAAAAAATTTGAAATAAATTTTTTAACTGAATTAAACAGCAGTCAAAAAACCACTTACTTTTACAATATCCAAAATCCATTTTTCCACTTCGGCAGCTATTTTGAGCTTAAGATTTATCCAGTGACTGCACAAAAAATTTCCCCGAATATGTAACTCAATGGCACCATTTATTGGATTTTTTCCAACATATACAATATTTTTCAGGTAGTAGGGACCAATTATGGGATCGCCATCCTAAAGAAGGATAAGCTTCATCGTATACAAAAATAGTTTTTTATTTTTATCAACGTCAAAAATTGCAAAGACATGAGAAAAACTAAATTTATTTGGTATTTTGCGAGATAAAATAAATCAATTAATTTCATTGTTTTATTAGTTTTTTTAATAACTTGCATGCATGTAACTTATTACTGCTTTTAAGGTTAGTTCGATTTAGACGTGTCTGGATTTATGCGAGAACATATATTAATTAGATTACACATCCCATTCAATTAGAAACTTTCAAGTGTGAATAAAATTTGTCGCTATTACTCATAAATTTGTAATTTCTTCCCGTTTTTTTGTGTTGAATTTTAGAATCATATTAATTGCTGATATCTACTAATTTAAACAGTTTTGTTGAATTGTCTAACATAATTAAACTTCTTTGTAGGTTTTGATTAGAGAATTTAGATTTTTTCTATTTTATGTTAGTTTTTTTATTTTATTTTTCTCTACATTTCTCCGAATAATATTTTATATTTTCGTGATCTGTTTTGTTCACGGCGCGAGCACTGCCTGATTAACTCCATTTTAATTTTAATTTATTGGTTAATCCGGTTTGATGTATTCTGAATTATAATAAAAAAATGAATTGAATTATACCTTGTTATTAGCAGCCCAACCAGTCAAAGCGCTTTCTTCAACAACAATCCAAAGTTTACCGTAATCTTTCTTGCAAACAAAGACTTCAGCCCGTGCCGACAACAATAATTTATTCTTTAAAACATCTCCATCATTCATCTTCTTGCTCTCACTCCCAGAATGCAAGATCATATTTGCTGAATTTTCAAGACAACCAGCAGCAGAATATTTTTCCGGAGAATGTAAACTTCTTTGACGTCTGAAATAGACTAGAAAATTTGGATGAAGTGGACTGTAAAATACCTCGAAAATATAATTTAGAAAATCACTCAATAACTCAAAATATAACTGAATAATTACCCAATTGATATCTTAAGATCTGTGAGCTATTAGAACTTGCATTATTGTATAACTATGTTTGTAAGCTTACCAGCTGCATTTTACTAATTATGAACATATAACAAATAAAAATTATTATAAACACAAATTCTAGGAGTTTTTAACAACTGATTTCGCAGAGAATTATTTTGCGATCCTAAAATACATGTATATATCAATATCAAAATCATTAAAAAAATCACCCATTATTTGATAAAACATCATCATCATCGTAAAATAATTCCATCATTCTCGAATATGCTTCAAGACCAATATATCCTGAGTTCCACAAACCATTCTGTGGAACATTCTCTGTATCGGATTCGATGGAAATATTATTATTACTTTTATTCATGGTATCCGAAGCAGTGCTATCTTCCGGCAAATATTCTGATTTTTTAATTATGGAAGAAAAAACATGCCCTGCTCCCAAACTGATATTTACTGAAGAACTCTCCTGCTCATTCATTGGTCCTATTGTGGAATTTGCATTCCCATAAATTGCTGAATCCAGCATTTTTGCAATTCTTGCAACGCGACCTTGTTCTAGGCCTTCTGAATCCAGTATATCATCTGGCGTACCTCCAGAATCATCAGTACTCTGAATGTTTGATGAAGCAGATCGATTAATATTCGTTTCAATCGTTTTTGGAATATCGGACAAAGATTTAACACGACGATGACTTCTTGATGATAAATTTTGAATGGGTAGGACAGTCGAAAACAACCAAGAATTTGATATCCGTTTAGTTGAATCAGGTAAGAAATTAAAAGGATTCAAAATAACTGCTCCTTTCAAAATACGATTTGGTACTGGTGGTTTTCGGTCGGTTAAACTAGTCCGTGGTGCAGGGGTTGGACGATCCTGGGTCAATACCATATTCCTATCACATCAGAGACTCGTCTGCACAATTAGAAGAAAAATGATCGCCAGAACATCAGTTCCTCAAAAAAGGAAATAATTGCATTTTCAGCATGAGAAATAGATTATGAAAGAAAATCACTGCAAAATTTCATAACAATGACAAATGGTCATTAGCAGTCAGAAAGACTATAATTTGTTTCTGGAACGCGAAGGACATTATGACTGATTCATTCTAACAAGTATTCTACTCTGTTCGATACTCATAGCTTTTCATACATATGTCAACGGGAACTACCACCAAATGAATTTTGCAACCTCAAAGATGTCACTTTTTCATCGATAATTTTAAAAGAGCTAAATTGTTACTCAAATGAATTGTAAGAGCCATTAAATATATACAAGGAAGAGCCCAAGCAGTGCAAAAAAAAGTCAGTTACGAACAGTCAATTATTTAGAGAAATATTTATAAATGCGAAATATTGTCCGTAAGATATGAATGCAACTTAAAGTATGCATGCAATATACTTCCTTATTCCAATCTTTTAGATTGAAAAGTCATGATATGTGTTAATATTGTTTATTTGGTACTTCCATTCATAAAAAATTAAGGGAAACTAATAACGTTTAAATCCCATACACAAAAAAAGGAAAACAAAGACCAAATCCCCTGACTTGAAGGAATTGAGGAATTGAATTGAAAGAACTGAAACGTAAGAACAATACCTCACATATTTATTTTGAAATTACAGAAAAAAACTGAAAAAAAATCGATCAGATGGCTGCTGTTAGCCAAGATAAAATAAATTACTGTGCGAAAAATAATGTGAATATATTTATTTTATCTGTCAATGAGAACCAACGAAATAATTATACAACGCGAAAACAAGCAATACTGATGGGAAATTATTTGAGCTGAATTTTGTGAATAAAAACAATGAGTAATGGGAATATATCATAAACTTTCAAAATACTCGGGATGTAGCACAATATTAAAAAAAAAGAGAAAAAATTTTATCCAAATAAATAGGTTTAATCGAATCTGTTTATATTTGGAAAAGGCAAAATAGTAAAAAGGAATCCTGTTTGATTGCATCAAATCAATAAATAAGACCAGTTTAACCTTGTGTGAAAAGGACAATAAAGTTACGGTATTTCCAATGTGCTGCTAAATCAACAAAACGAAGCAAAACAGCTGAAAAATATTCTTCATCGGAAGTATATTACAAAAATTTGCAACATTACGAAAATTTTACAGCGAACCAAAACAAACCAATTATTTTGGTTCAATGAAAAAAAAACAAACAAACAAGTAAACAAATAAGTCCTCATACAATTACAGTACTATAAAGTAAGATCTGATCGTCAGACTAAACAGAAATAAAAAAATTATAAGTCATTTTTATTACTTTTCCCAGTTGTTGAACTGAATTTTACTTTTTCCAGTTTCTGAGTCTCTGGTGTTTAAGTGAATTTATTTATCTGTTTCTCCAATACAAAAACGTTTTTCCCCTTTTTTAGATGCGCCACAGTGCACTGAACCACAAATAAATCTGTAGCATCCTGAACTGCATCCATTTCCATCAAAAGCTAATCGCATAAACTGTAGTTCCTATTTTCAGTACTTTGAAAATTCCCAAGAAAAAATGGACACTTTTTCTTTAAAGAAAATCTATTCCCTTGATGTTCATATCATTTCGGAATATGCAAATAAACTTTACACTTTGCTTAATCAACCTCTTCTAAAACATGACCAAATTTTTTCCCCATTAACTCCTTTTCGCGAAGCATTTCTTCGGTAAGCAATGAAATCCCCAGCTGATGCTCTTTGGTGAATGATTGCGCCATTAGAGGGAACCATCTACAAGAAAATAATATTGATTACTTATTTTTTAACTTTCATAAAAAAGATTGCATTTAAGAACAATTCACGAAAATTTTTGACGAATTACTTTATCAGTACTACAACTCCTGTATGTTAATGTGGAATATTTAAAAATCATACTTTCTTGCTATTATAGCAGCTTCTTCAATACTGAGATTGATGTTGCCAGGCGTTATATATTCCTGAATCCAACGAGGAAGTTTACCCATTTTATCCTTTCGTGAAAACCTCTAAATATAATTTCTGTGAATCATATTCAACAAGTCATTGCAAAATGAGAAAGAACTGAAATACCCTCTTTCAAACGCTCTTCCACCCCTCTGGAGACTTAATTAAAACCTTTTATTTTTGAAAATTTCTGTTTATATTTAAAAGCTGAAGAACTAGCCTTATCAGCGAACACCATCAAACCGTAATCACTTTTTCCTCTCAGTGCACGACCCATGCATTGTGCTGCCTGTCGCATCGCGTCAAATGTTAAGAAATCATTTTCTCTAAAATATCCTTTGGTGAAAGCATAAGTCGTTTAAACTTCAACTTTTGACATTTTTCCTGAATTCCTAATTAAAAAAATTTTTCTCTGAAGAACTAGCCTTATCAGTGAACACCATCAAATCATAATCACTTTTTCTTCTCAGTGCATGACCCATTTTTGGTATTTTTTTTCCTACATTTTGGTAATTTTAAATTGCTACCATACCTTATTCCCAATTGTTCTCGCAAATATTCCAGCCGCGCTCGCAATATGCGACTTTCTGTATATACATATGGAACACCAAGCATTATCACGGCACGGCCAAGATGATGTGAAAAATCAATCCCTTCCGATACCTATGGTTTCCCGTTGTTATGTAAAGATAAATTAAATAATAAGAAAATTATTTTAATTAAATTTCAGTATTTAAACAAAAAAAAGAACTTATGAAAACTTTTCTGAGCAAAATAATGATTATTGAAATACCTTTCCTCTTGCAACAGAAAAGAACACGGCACCCCTGCCACAATCACATGCCTCCACATATTTCTCCAAAGCAATACTTGTTTCGAGTGCATCGGTTGTTTCGATGAACAAAAGTTTGTATTTTAATAATTCATCAATAATGCCCTAGAGGAATTGAGATCAGTTTACACAGCAAACAAAATATTGTTTGACCAAATTATAAAAAATAGTCCTAAAATCCGATGAATTCTATTATTCTAAAGAGCCACAACTACCTGATCATACCATGTTGAAATAACATTTTCCATATAAAGATAACTGGTAAAGAAAACGACAACACCATCTGGTACCAAAGAAACAAGTTCCAAAACAAGACTTCCGTAATTCCGGATAACGGCAACATCTTCCCGAGATTCAAAACGGGATGTCATAGCAACTTGGTCATTGCCTGCAAATGAAATTCTGGGAAAATTGTCATATAAAAATAAATGAATTACAGTAGTGACAGCAGATAAAAATATTGAAGTAATATTGAATGATGAGACATAAACTGTATGTATAAGCAACAGATACCAAACCTTTTGAAACAATGAGTGGTGCAATACATGGTCTTGCTAGTGTCATTGATAAGCTTGCCATAATCGCTGGATCAAAGTCCAGAATTTTTGGATACATATCCAATGGCGATAAAGTCTGCATTCATTTCGTAAATAAATTTCAAGCTTTTTTTGAAAATGAAAACAAATTCCATCACATAGATTAAGCTCATTAAGTTCATTCATTACAAGACGGTAGTCATTTAGTTTTGGGAATATTCGATCTTGATTTCATTTTATTACATACAAAAAAATGGCATTGCTATTGTCTAATTTATTCCTAGTTAAAAAGTAGCTTTTAAGTCTAACCCCTGAAGTGATGACAACTGTATGATATCGTTGAAAAATAGGACGAATAGCAATTGAAGCATCCATACAGCTAAGATGTAGCGTACAGCTATGGCCAATACCACTTTTCTCATCCAGTGGTTCAATTACAATTGTAAAACCTAAAAAAATGTATATCAGGATATATACGAACGGTGAAATATTAATAATCGATAGTAGAAAATAACAATACCTCGTGCATATGTGCTGACAAGGGTTGCAAAATTTGTAATCAACACTAATGAGCTGAAATCTGATATGTCAGCCAATTCCAAAGTTCGCATTAATGATGCAAATCGTTCCGCACAAAATCTAAAGAAATTTCGAAAATCATATTTAAAACGCTTATTATATCTGAAAAAAAAGGGCACTCTGCACCAGTAAAGAGAGAGAGATGATTGTCTAATATAATCGTAAGCTTTATTTAAAATATATAATGTCAATAACACCTGAATTTCTATTATTAAGTTGGTGAAAAAGTTATATTGCTTTGAATCGCGAATTCCAGAACCATTATTAGATTCAACTTAAATTATCCTTAATAATCAATGCAAGTGTGATTTACATAACTTTTTAAAACACTTTTATAATTCTTTACAAGCAGTTATTCGTAAAATGTTATCGAAACCAATTATTAGTACTTGATCAGAGAATGCAATGGATCAAGCAAAACTTCATAGCTTAATCCGTTGAACTGTTGAAATATTATTTGTCTGACGCGCTATCAAAGGTTCTGATAAAAAACGAGCTATTACTGTTAGCTAATGTTGAATCAAAACGTTGCGATTTTTAACACATCCCATCGAATTGCTAATTGTAATCTCAAATGTAACCGTTTTATAACAACAGATCAAATTTTGAGTTCTTCTGCTGCTTTATGGCTTTTAATTCAAAAAAAAAAAATCACTGAATTCGTTTTTGTCAAATACGATTTCTAATCTATATTTAAAAGAAATTTTAACAAATATGAGAAAAAACGGAAGGAAAAAATTCGCACTAAGAAACCAAATAACGTCACATTATTTGTACCAAAAAAAAATGTTTATATAGAAAAACAACTGTATCAATTTAATAAAAAATTTGAAGTTTTTGGCACAAATTCGACTATGGCAGAAAAAAAATAAACTGACCGAAAATTGAAATTAAACGAATGAAGGTAATCATTAAAAAAACCTGAGTGGCCTTCGATCAATATGCATTAAATCATTAATATCACGAAGAAATGCTGCTGGACTTTCAATTAAAACCGTTTTTGTTCGCATCCGATGTTTCAGATATTCATTGAAACGATGCAAAAATGAAATGAAATGTGACGCAGTTCGTATTGTTCCAGGTACCGCTTCTTTCAAAATCATGTCAGGAAGAACTGAAAATTAAATTAGTGAAACTATTCAATCTATATAAAGTGAAATTACAAAAAGTTTTTAAAAAAAACAGAAATAAAAAAAATAAAAAATAAACCAGGATTTGCTAAAACTTGATCGTTCGTACGTTCTTCTTCGACACGTCTCAATCCTTCAACTAAACGATCGTACTCCACCTGCAATTGCTCACTGTTTTCCTCCTTCAACCTGAAAATTATCTAACTTCTTGTGTGATACATATCTGCAATTTATTTGATTAAATGAATTCTGAGTTGTGTATTACTACAAAACCGGTTTTACGATAATAAAATATTTCCTATAGTATGTCATATCCTTGTATTCATGCATAAAAGCAGATACTATAAACATTGAGAAAATACTTCTATAAATTTGAAATAAAGATATTAAAATAATCAGTAATAGATGCTCACAATTCGATTACCTCTGCACATGATCTCCAAGTACACCTAATTTTTGTGTTGCTTTTTCAACTGTTGTTTTTGTTAAGGACACACTCATTGACTCTATGCACACGTTATCTAAAAAATGTTTTTTGATG